CAATGGGGGCTGATTCCATGTTATTAAGAGACAAATTTGGGCTTGAGTGTGAAGAAAGTAATAATATGGGCCTTACCTCAGAAATATGAGGAAATTGCTTTTGCCTTTTTCACATCTCTGTGGGCTTGTCTACAGAAGACACTTAGCTTCATGTTAGCATAGTTTAGTGAGAAATAAGTATGTGCGTCTACACAGTAAGTCTCCCTAATCCTGAGTAACTTTGCTACCTGCAAATGGAAATAGAAAATTTATATGAGATTACTAATGGCACCATAGTGTTCATGTAGACATCTAACTAGGACCAAAATCTGCTCCTGGTCAGGCGTCCACCAAGGGGTGGGAGATTGCTCCCTGCCCCCAGGAGTTGCCTGCTGCCCGGGTGGGCTCTGCCACAGGAGCCCAGGCGGTGACTATGTCCCCCTGCCCCAGCAGCAGGGAGCTTCAAGCCCCCCCCCACAAGATCACGAACAGGGAGTAGGGGCTGGGAGATCCTTATTGCCCAGCCTCCATTTTGCCATTGCAGTTGGGGAGTGAGGGGCTGGGAGACCCTTACTTCCCAGTGCTGGCTCCGCAACTACAGGGCCGGTGCTAGGACATGCTTATCTCCCAGCCTGAGCTCCGTGGTCATGGGGCTTGGGCTGGGAGACCCTTATCACCCAGCCTGAGCTCTGCAGTTGTGGGGCTCAGGCAGGGAGACCCTGGGACTCATGCTGAGAGATAGGAGTCTGGCAGGGGCAAGGAGCTGACTCCATGGACTGCTGTAAAAAAATAAACAAAACAAAAAACCACCAATCAAGAACTTCTGCAATACCCAATCACGATTCCATTTCCTGGAAACATTACGGAAAAGCAAGATTATCCCATGACTGGGACAAGTTTATTCATCTACCGAGTGTCTGAGGTAGTATGTAGGGTTTAAAAACATACACTTCAACTGAATTCCTTATCTTGGCAGATCAACTTTGAGATAAGAAACTTTCATTATGGCCTAATAATTTTTAAGCCAATATCATGATTTTTGACACTGGGGATTGGTAATACTAATGTCAGGATTTTGCTATCTGTGAAAACTTAAAAACTCACAAGCCTTTTTATGTGTAATAGTAAATCTATTTTAATAATATCTCATCAGTGGCCCCTTATTGGACTGGTTACTGCAGTAAAGTATTGTCAGAAATCTCCATATAACATCCAGAATTTCCAAAGTCTAATGTTTATTTTTTCCTCAGAGATCCATTTACTGCATAGTAAATTAGATAGAATTCACTTCTTTGCTTCAGTCTACATTTTGTCTAAAGAAATGCTATACTGAGGCATTGATTTGATGATAAAATTATTTCAGCGTTAATTTCCACTACAGTCTGAATACCTTGTTGTCTTTTGCTTGTTCTAAAAAGTGAAATATTGATTCTAACCTAGTAAAATCTGAAGATGAAATTATGCTTTTTTTCCTGAGAGCACTAGGGACTACAGTCTGGTAGAGCTAGCTGCCCCACTGGCGAATTGGGGCAGGGGGCTGGGACCTGCCCCTCCCATGCAGCTCTTTCCAAGTCCCCTGCCCCTGGTCAGGGATCTAGGGCCAGGAGCTCCATGCTGCTGGGGCAAGTAGTCATTGTCCCTGCTGCAGCAGCAGGCAGCGCCCCCAGCCCCCACCCTGGCTGTGAGACAGTTGTCTCCTGACCCAGTGCTCTCTGCCAGCCCCTGGACTAGCACCCAGGGGGAGCCTGGAGCTCCCCCCAGTGTCAGCAGGGGCCTATTGCAGGGCTACAGGAAACTTGGTGCAAATATGCTCCCTTATCCTCACATTTGTAGATGCCTGCCCAAGAACGTTTACACTGAATTAGTTTACACCAGAGCAAATCTAGGCCAGAGTAAATGCATGTGTAGACTCCCCTTGTAAATAGGTTTCTTTGTTTCTGTAGGTGACCTTAACATTGGGCTACTGGACTTTCTCCTGTTTGGCAGTCTGATTGCAGCAGTGGATCCAGTTGCGGTTTTGGCTGTGTTTGAGGAAGTCCACGTCAATGAAGTTCTGTTCATCATTGTTTTTGGAGAATCACTGCTAAATGATGCTGTGACTGTGGTAAGAGGATTTGTGCCCAATTCCTGATGGTTTCTGCTGAAATAATAAATTCCTTATGGCATAAAATAGTACATAGCGGCCTTTTCTATATGTGACAGTGACTGAGCAGTAGCTCATTATTGCTGTGCAGTAATAACAACCTACTGCTCAGTCAGTATCACCAAGAAGCCATTTGGGGATGCTACTGTGCAGTAACTCTGGTTACTGTGTAGTTATTTAGTATGTGTGTATGCAAGTATTAAATGACTGCACAGTAGCAACTGCACAGTCAACATCTCATGTAAATGTAGTCAGTGTATCTTTTCATGTTGTCTGAGTCAGTTACTGCACAGAAGTTTTACTAGAGTGCCTTATTTGCAAAAATGTACTGTGAGCATAAAATAGTTGAATATAAGTTATTTGGTGCATTTCTGTTCTCTGATTGGATGAATATTTAAATTAATGTTTCTGATACAAATACTTTTCTAGTCGTCATGTCTGTTGTGATTCACTGAAATGACTTCAGAAGTTTTTGAGATTTCCTTGGCTAATTCTCTGAACTGCTTCTGTTCCTTTGGTCCATTTTTATATATGCCCTCAATCTTAATATACATCAGATACCTTCTTTTTTTTTGTTAATCCTTTTCCTAGCCTTTCCATCTTCTATTGCTATTCTTCTGATAGACATACCCAAAAGAATTCCCTCTGCTGCTTCTCAATGAGATCCACTTATCACAGATGACAAAGTGATAGTGTTGCTAATTCTTCTGATTTTGTTGCAAGTCTTATGATACACATTTTTCCCTTAAATCCAAGCTCATGAGAACGTCAACTTTTATTTAAAAAGAAAAGGTGCTTCCAGACCTCATGGGGTGCATCCACACATGCAGGCACGTGCGTTTGCAACAGTTCAAATAGGAGCGATGCAAATTTGAGCTAGAGATTTTTGCTTTGGTGCATGTGCCTGGGCATGCACTTTGGTATGGGGCAAGTTGTGCCACTTAGGGCAAAATAACCCTGCCCAGCTGCTCGCAGATGTGCAGCCAGGAGGAGCTAGAGCCTGGGGCAGCAGTATAAAAACCTGCTCTGTGCTGGCCCAAGCAATATAAAAACCTGCCCTGGTAAGCAGTTCAGAGCTACTTGCCCTCAGGAGCTTCTGAGGCCCAGCCACTTGGTATCTGGAGACACTATCCCTTGTGCCAAATGAAGCAGCCCTAACCTGGAGTGGCCCCTGCATCTTCTACCCACTGCAGCAGTCTGGCAGTGGGGGCTGCTGGCTGGGTGTGACCTGCTGCCATCTGTGACAGCATCTTCCCCCTTAGGCCTGTGGCCCCAAAGCTGTGCTCCTGCCAGAACCAGATGGGGTGCCCCTGCTCTGCCATCTGGGCAGGTATTGCCCAGATGTGCTCCTTGTGGTGGCCCACTTTGAAGTGAAATGTTGATTATAACCTACTAAAATCTAAAGCTGAAATTACACTTTTTTCCTGAGAACACTAGGGACTACAGTCTGGTAGAACTGACTATAATAGATTGGTCAGGGGCTGGCAGAGGTCCTTAATTAACGAATGTGTTTAAGTGCAAGTAACTTCAAACTTAAACTTTACATATGTGCATTCAGCTCACAGTAACGGGATGCAAGCATGTACCTAGTTGAGTTGAATATATGTCTAAGTGCTCTCCCAAATAGGAATGTTTTCCTGAATTGGGACCATATTGAACAGAAGTGCTCCATGATGTTTGATACTGGGAAATGCTCTGTACATTCTTGCTTCTGTCCAGAGACATCTAATATCAATGCCTGTTTTCTCTTTACTTGGTAAAGTTTATACCAATGGGGTGCCTGAGAATTAGGTGAATAGGTGAGCTACTTGAATAGTGCCAGTGTGAAGGGGAAGTGTGGTGGCAAATTCTGATATGAATTTTTAAAGACATTTTTCATAATTTATTTTTCAATGATAAACCCAATTCTTAAAAGTTTGCAAATCCTGTTAAAGCTTACTAAAAGCCAAGATATTTTTACCAAGAACTTGTTATTTCTGGTTTTTCATTCAAACAAGTTTGGGAAGTGTAGACCCTTTCTATTGTTCTGATTAAGATTTTTTTTGTGCAAAAAATCTGTCGGCAAAAAATGTTGAAAGTTTCTGTAAATGTGAACCTGTTAAAAGCCCACACTGAATTAATTTAAAGTCACTATGTTGATTTTAAAAGGATATTTTTGAATGAGAATTATAATCCAGGAAGCAGCAGAATGTTTTGTCCTACTTCTTCTAGATCCTCCTTCACTATCTATGCCTCTTTTTAGAAATTGTCTGCCAAGCAGGAGATGAGATGTCAGGTGATGCCACAGTGATTGGCAGTCTAGAAAACCCTTAGATATGCAGACTTAACCACTAGCCATAGGCATAACTATCATATTTTCTAGATTTCATATTTGCCATGTTTTGACCTGTTATTAATTCACTATGTGGTTTTTTTTCAATGGTTATCAGTCTAACAAAAAATTAAGTTATTTAATGCCAGGCCCATATTTGGAATAATTTTAACTGGTTTTAATTCAAAAATATATACTAAGTGAAGTCACTTTTTCCTTTTAGGTTCTCTACAATGTCTTTGAGTCCTTTGTTGCAATAGGAGCAGAAAATGTAACTGGGGTGGACTGTGTAAAAGGCATAGGTGAGTAAAGTTAACTCTGTGTTACACCACTGATAAAACGTGTAGACTTTAAAACATTTAATACTTACAACTGTATCACATGATGGTCTTTTGCTGTTACTTTTCCCCTCCCATCTATACCCTCAGATTTTGGTGGCACACAGAATGAACCCATATTTGCATGTCCTGGACATTTGAGAATTCTGAGAGAGGAAAGAGGAATTTTTGTCTCTATAGAAGCTGTTAGGTATTGGACCTGGCTTGTGAGCTCCAGGATGTAGGGAATGACATTACACATAAGCTGGTTTAAGTGATCAGAAACTGGTTTAAATCTGTAAAAGACAGATGTTCAGTGTACATAAACCAGTTTAAAAATGGCTGAAAACCATTTGAGATAAACCTGGTTGAATGTAGTATCAGACTTAACTGATTTGAGTCAAACTGGTTTGTGCAATGTCTGTCCCAGACCCCTTGCTGGTTTAAGATAAACCAGACATCCCCAGCATCCTGGCATGCTCTCTGGGCTGGGTGGGGTTCTCTGGTCCACAGCAGAGCTGCCCCTCCGGCTCCCTGGCTGGAGCTTGGCTGAGATTGCAGGCATTTACCTGGCTTCCCCCTGCTCCCCCCCCCACTCCCCTCCCCCCTTCCTGCTAAGCAGGGATTCCCCCATCCCCTCTGCCTTACACAGACACTTCTCAGCATTACCTAGCAGATCACGTGCTGGCTATGTGCTGTGGCAGACGGGACAAAGGCAGAATCAACAGGTAGCTGGTAATGTCCCACTGTTGTTTTCTTAATGGGGTGATAAACACTGAGTTAGGGGTGATAAACAGCGTGCTATCAATTCCCTGCTGGGCTGGTCAGAAGCGGGGGAACCCCTCCCTAATCAGAGCATCCTGTTGGGGCCTGGCCACACCCCCCTTAGCTCAACACCACGGAAGGAAAGTGAAGGCTGCTCTAGTGCCCCAGGCTACTCGCCTGAGCCACTACAGGCATGTGCCTGCATTTATGGGATGTCTGTGCAGCTACAAACTGATTCGGCCTAATCAGGTTGGACAGGTTGATCAATTCAGGCTCAGGCTTTTTGAATGTCTGCCCCTAGCTCAGAGCAGTAACTGATTTAGGAGGTTAAGACCTGATGACTTGACAGATATGTATGTGGTCATAATCCTGCCACACGAGGTCTACTGTTTCAGAATCCTTTCAACACAATAGCTGTAACCTGCCATCTTCCTGCAGAAGTAGTGTTTCTTTTGCCATAGAAGTGTAGTACAAGGGCTAGCTTATATGCGATTACCATCAGATACCCAGCATTTGTTAAAGGTTATTAAGCAGTGTTGATACTGATCTTCCCCATTACAAGCTTAAGAGAATGCTGTACTGTTTCAGGAACCACGTTGTTAATGATGATCTGTGTATATTATTTTTCTGTGGTTGGGGAAGCATTTGTGTTTATGGAACAATGAAGTAAATTTGCTTGGGGAATACTTAAGGATTTTGGGTAATTTCACACTGATGGCTTTTCACCAGAATTAACTTGTGGTTTCCTTGGAACTTTGCAAATGTCAACATACTAAAAAATGGTAAATTTGTGGCATTCTTTGGATTATATTTTTTGAAGTTGGGATTCTTAAGCTAGCTTCCAAATTTTTCTTTATCTCATTAGCCATTTGATAGGAAAATTAGTAACAATTAAGCCAATTAATCCTGCAATACTACCTTTGTTAATTTGTATTTGTTCTTGTTGCAGTGTCTTTCTTCGTGGTAAGCCTGGGTGGGACACTCGTTGGTGTTGCTTTTGCTTTCCTGCTGTCCCTGGTCACTCGTTTTACCAAACACGTTAGAATTATTGAACCTGGATTTGTCTTTATCATCTCATATCTGTCTTACCTCACAGCAGAGATGCTTTCTCTTTCCGCCATCCTTGCGTAAGTCCTTTATTTTATCAGTTTTTTTCCCCTTGGCTGCAGTGGAGAGGGAGCATAGTTTTTTAACATAAATGACAGGGAAGAGTTAAACCAGATGGGAAGACTACAGAATGCCAGACTAACAAAGTTTATTCTTCAGTTACAGTTACAAACCAGTAATGGATTGTGAATCCCAAACACCTCTTCTAAGTCTGTCTTGAAAAGGAGTTTGAAGTTTCCAGTGTCTACTCTTTAGTATGAAGGCTGATTTGGTAGAATAGAAACTCATTTATTGGTCTTCTAATGCAGTGTTTCTCAACCCATGGGTTGCAACCCAAAAGTGGGTCACAAGAATGTATAAAAGAGTGGCAGACAAACTTTAAAAATGGATTCTCCTTTAAAGGAGAAAAACATGGAAAACTGTGAGCATGTCCTTGCAGGCTGGCAGAGTTCAGAGTGCAAGGGGTTGCCTAGGGTTCCGCTTGCCCCACACAGTGGTGGTGGGGGAAGGCATGGGGCAGTGGGTCAGGAGTGAGGGACACCATCAGGGCCAGGAGGCTGTTTTCTACTTAAACTGTTTATTGGTCAGAACTGACCATCAGGGTTTACAGAAGGGTACTGGTACCAAAAAGGTTGAGAACCACTGCTCTAATGGCATTAATACTCATTCCAGTTGCCCTTTTTCCAGTCAATTTGTGATGACTAAACAGCCAGATTCAAGCGAATGTCACTTTCTGTTGTTCTGGACTGTCGTCTAAAATTTTTGAATATCCAAATCGTATATTATTCTTTGAAACTTCTGCCATGTGGCCAAGTCAATCAACCAAAACTTGCTATCAGGATAAACAGGGTAAGCTTTCCTGTTCTGTGTGGAGTCCCAGTACAATCTTTACCCACTGCTGTACATTGGGTTGGAACATACCTTTAATCTCAGTTTTGCTTACCCACTTTCAGATGTTATTAGCCTCTAATGTTTTACATGCTTTCATCATCAAAAGCCGTTCTACAACAAGTATCTTCAAGATTGGAAAAACCCACTGCAAACAAATTATCATCTTAGATTTATATCTAAGTAAACACATGCTTTAAAGTGCTGGCTGTGAAATAGTATGGAAACCCAAATGGCAGAAGAAGCAGGAGTGCTTTTATGGGCTAATTAAATGTTATCTACAGATTTTTAGGTGGTGATTGTTTGTGGTACACATTCTACCTAAACCTAACTTGAATACTTAGTATTCACTGGAGTGCCTGCCTTAAGTTTAGGAGTCAGATTTATAGCCATGTAGGTCTGAGACAAAGAGGAATACAAAACTTTAATATTCTTGGTTCAGAGGTGATACCTTTTATTAAACCAACTGAAAGATAGCAAAAAAATTGTCTTTGTAAGCTTTTGGGCACTCATGCTCTTTTTCAGCTGAAAGAAGGGCATGTGCCCAAAAGCTTGCAAAGAAAGATTTTTTTGTTTTTGCTATTTTTAGTTGATAAAATAGAAGGTATCACATCTGAACCCAGAATTTTAGAGTTTTGTATTCCTCTTTGCCTTAGTTTCCGAGAATTCTTAAAGTCACAGTTTAATTTTTTTGTCACAATTTGATAGCTTGGATGGCAAAGGGAAATACATTACAAGTGTTATTCAACAAATGATGGATTTCTTTTCAGGATAACTTTCTGTGGCATCTGCTGTCAAAAATATGTCAAAGCTAATATTTCTGAGCAGTCTTCTACCACTGTGAGATATACCATGAAAATGATGGCTAGTGGAGCTGAGACTATTATCTTCATGTTCCTGGGAATTTCAGCTGTAAATCCTGATATCTGGACCTGGAACACAGCTTTTATACTCTTAACATTGG